AAAAGTGCATATATAAACGAAAATGATGCTTCTAAATTGTCCTATATATCAACAAACTATTCAAATTTAACCGAATGCATTGAAAACACTCGAGTAGCTTTTATGCCGCGTCAATTGATTCCAGGAAATCACTCTCTTCATACAATCTTTCGTAATCCTCCATATAAAGACATAGTAAAACCTTACTGCGATGGTTTATGGATGGAATTTGGTGTGTTTCGTGGTGGTAGCATATCTCATATTGCGAAATGGAAAACTACATTTTGTGGTAACAAAAGTGAGCGAGTCTATGGATTTGATACGTTTAGTGGTTTACCGACGGATTGGAGACCTGGATTTGGTCGTGGAACCTTTCATTTTTCCTAATGAAACAGATATTTCAGTTCCATCTAATGTTGTGTTAGTAAAGGGTCTTTTTATCGATACATTACCTATTCAACTTCGTATTATTGATCGTAAATATCAATGTAGAACTCCAGTATCATTTGTTCATATTGATTGCGATATATATATATGATGGTGCAAGAGATATTCAATTTCTTCTTGGAAGTCGTTTTGTACCAGGTACCATATTGGTATTCGATGAATTGTTCAACTATCCAAGTTATGAGAAACATAAAATCAAGGCTTTATTTGAATTTTTATCAGGTTCAAACTTAAGACTCAGAGCATTTGGCACAAGCGATAACATTGAACTGAAACCACATAAAGATCTAAATGTGCAATCATTTGCGTTTGTTACAGACTTTGAAGAAGGATAGTAATAAAAATATAGAAGTTTATCTTACTAAATTGATACTAATAAAAACTACACTTTTACGAAAGTGTCATATTGTATGTAATAGCTGAAAATCTTACGATTACCCAACACTATACATGTCATATTGATTTGCTTGAAACTATTTAAAATTAACAGATATTAGACATTTCACTTGAGAAGCTATTTGTCGTACAAAATAAACGCTGTGAATAAGTAAAAAGAAAGAAGAAAATATATAGTCAGTTGGAGTCAGAGATGAGCACAGGAGAAGATTTTCTCTCCTGTCCTGTCCTGTCCTGTGCTCATCTCTGGTTGGAGTTCTGGTGTTCGAGAAGAGGAAATCTATATTTACGATTCTCGTCGCCTTTCGTGAACGGTTACTTCGTTTAATTTTTTCGAAAAACAAACTCACAGCATTGTATATATAGGTAATGGCTTATTCTACTACTTTTCAAGTAAATTTGGATAGTGAAAAAAGAAAAATGATTCAGATGTTTCGTAGTGATTGACCAGTTTTTCGAATGTATTGTCCACTTTGATGAACATGTTATTTCGTTCATTGTTGATATTAGCAGAGAATGTATTGAAATAATGAGATCCTCGATTATTTCGTGTGCAGTTCAAATTATCTTTCGCTGAAACAGCTCGAATTTTAGAATGTACGTTGTCATATACGAGAGTACCACGGACACGGACATATGGCAATGCACATATTTCTTGCAACAAAAACCACACACACCTCACACCCTGTTTCAGTGAACTCATGTCGTCTAGTTCAGAGTTTAATGGTGCATAAGATGGTACGAAAATCAGGATTTTGTAGAACGTGTCTGACTTGCGATTAGATAATTTTTCATAATGCATCAAAAATATTTTCAGATGTTATCTGACAACTTTTTTTCCTGAACAAAAGACTCAGAATCATGCTAAAGTTGTAAGCATATCGAGCTAAAAATTCTCTCTATTATGGTGTACAATTTTTAGTATTTAACATCCCCTTTGATGAGCAGATGCTCACACAAAGTTTTCTATCAGTAGAAAAATAGGAATTTGCAGTTTGACAATTCAACAGATTTCAATCTCGAAAAATTTATGTCAACATGAAAAACCTCTTTGAAAAACAAACTCGGCATTTTTGTAGATCATTAAATTTTCTATCCAGCAACATCAGAACGAAAATTCTAACAAATGCTAAATTCTTCAACGATAGAAAATAAATATGCGACGTTTATTATTAGATGCTCATTAGTTTTCAAGAAATTCTCCCCATACACTAGTAAATCCCTTAAAATTTCTCTGTATAGTCGTTCGCACATACAGCTAGATTCTGCTTCTCTATATGTAAACATAGAAATGGAAACAAAGCAATGAATGTGACATACTTTTAGCACTAATTCAGAGCGAGATCGTAATATTGAGCAAGTCTTCCGTTGTTATTATTCAACATTCAACAGTTTATAGAAACTCGTGCTCTTTATCGCTTTTTTCTGCGAAGAGAGTTGCAGATCAATTCGAAAATTGAGGATAACGATACCGTGTGAATCACGTCTTTCTCGCCCTTTTTTTTTCTTTAGGCGTTGTCTATGAAAAATTTAAAATAATAAATGAATGTGTCCATTTTTTACAGACTTCCAAACAATTTCAGTTTTGACTAATATTTTATAAAAAACTTCAATTAACACTTTAATTTTGAATACTTTTCAGAAATTGTTTATTCTAGAATTAATCCATGCTGCTTGCAGTGATAACGATAGAAAAAGACAATGCCTAATTTATTTAATATCTCTATGTGGTTTTTGAGAAAAAATACTTTTACTTTCTGCATATAGCAAAAACTATATGATTTTCACGACAGAAATTAGAAAAATTCAACTTCGGGCAGAACTGATATGTCTAGAGAACAGAAGGAAAATAGATCTATCTATTTCGGGCAAAAAAAAACAAGAAAAAATGTTTATAACAGGTTGCTTACAAAGAATGAGGATTTCTGTATTTTCTCAAATGTCTTCTTTAGTTTTTATAAATTCTGACTGAAGTGTTTTCAAAAGATTCAGTGTTTAATGTCCTAGAAAACCATATACAAATAAATAATGCAGCGATAAAAGAAAAAAAGTAATCTTAGTTATTTTACGAACATGCAATATTAACAAACTTCCAGAACACAATACTATTTTCTTGTATGTATGTGTTCTTACGTCAAAATATATAGATAAATTTAGACAAATCGTACTATCCATTTTAGCGTTACTTTTTTCTCGAATTAGAGAAAAAGCGATTTTATTTTATTTGCAATAAATAACCTTTATTTAGCTCTTATTTGATATCGTACAATTTGTCTATATTTGTTCGACATGAAAACGCATAAATACAGGACAAGTGTATTTTTGTGTTCGAAAGTTGTTGATATTGTATGTTCAAAGCATTACTGTAGTAACTATTTTGCTTTTTTTTTATCTCTATAATGCTCATTTGAATTTAGTTCTGTAGCGAATTAAATACTGAATTTTAAGAAAACACTTTAGCTCAAAATTATGAAAATCGAAAGAGATATTGAGAAAATACTGAGAAGATCATATATTCTGTTCCTTCCGTTCAAAATGTTTTTGAAATTTGTTGAAATTGTGTGATGTAGCGAATCATTGGATTTTTCCCACTGGTTGCTATTCATGTATGTTGGACTTTTCCAAGTTTCGTTTTTCCCTCCTTTATATGTATTTTCTCACTTCACATTGGAACTTTCCCAGTGCATTGTTATATATCTATATATGTGGGATTGCTCTTGTCAGTTGGGTTGTTCTTCTTGAGATTTCTTCTCTTACACATAACTGAGTTGCTGTCTCTGTTATCTTTCTTTCATTTCTTCATGTATAAATAAACTAGAGAAATTCATCTTAACTTCCAATATGTAACATACTGCATGTTCGTAATATTACTACGATGTCGTTTTTGTTTTGATTTCAACGAGACACATTTTTGTAGCGAATCAAATTCTGAGTTTATGAGAGCTAGAGAATATGTTGACAAAATACGGAGACTCTCACTCTTTATGGACCACTCGTTACCTTGGTTAGTGCATAAATTGAAAAATATAAAAGTGGTGTTATTTCGATACTTCCTTTTATGACCTATATACAAATCTTTATTTTTTCTGTTTTGGCCAATCTTTCGTTACGTTTTCTTTATTTTTCTTTTCTGTGATCAGCGAAATAATCTGCCTCGTTTTTCTCTCAATACTTACGATATAAAGAGGAAGCAAAAATACAAATCTATTCATCCACAACGAATGAAGGAAAGAAAAAAACAGAAATACGCCATTAATGCTCTTAATTCAGTCATTTGTCTTCAATATACGCTTATGTTCAGGTAAATTTATCAGCAAGCTTTAACAAAAGCCCTTTAGTGAGTAAGGAAGTTTGGAAGGAAAACTATCTATTCCCGTCTTTTTTTCGAATCATATTATGATTTACCTGTGATCTGCTTTGAATTTCGATTGTTGAATATGAATTCATTACAAATTATCTTTAACTTTGAATACTAGCGGAACGCTATGTAATCGATAATTAGACTCAATAGAGTTGGAATTAGAGTCAGTTAGGATATTTTCAAGAATAAGGTTCTGTATCGGAACCGTTTTTATGGGACAGAATCGAGCTCATATTTTAGTTTCAAATGCCTAAGTCTTAATTTACAAAATTCAATATTCCCGTTGAGCTTTTTCTCGATGATTTTTCTGTATTTCACAATTTTATATTCATCAACATGTTAAACAAAATATTTTTTTCTAAATATCAATATGAAAATTTCCACAACTATCAAATCTCGTTTATCAACATCGGAATGATATTTCATCATCATGTGTAAGATTTTTTCTCTTTCTGACTTTTTTCTACGATGCGTATGTGTCGTTGTGTCAATAAAAAGCATGCTTTCTACCCCACAGAACGAATAACAGTGATGTTTTATTTTACTATGTCCATAACACAATACATTCAAGTAACAAAAAACTTCATTCCTATTCGCGTCGTAAACAAGTAAAAAGTAACCGTTATTTTTACCACAAATGATATCTTTTCCCATGTTATTGTATATGACACATTTTTAACGTTTAATAATCTTCTTAAAACGAATTCTGCAAGAGGTTCAGTTGAGTATTAGGCATAATTATTGTTAGATAATATAGTGCAGATTTTCTAGGGTTGGAGCAATTCTGAAAAAACGAACTGAGAGAAAGACAACATTGAGAAACCGAAATCACGAAAGAAAACCTAGAGACTCTAATAGCAAAAGAAAAATGAACAATTCAACAAATAGATAGTTGAGTGAATCATGACAAATAGAATAGTGCTATGCAGCGTGAGTTTATGATCTTTTTCATTTAAAACTATTTCGAAAAAAAAAGGATCACGCCTTCTTTTTACAAACTGCAGGAGTTTAGAATATCCTGTAAGAGCAACTTGTTTTCTCAGTGCATAACTGTGAAAAAGGCGTTCCACTGTAAGGAAAAGAAGTATCACAATAATGAACGAATCCATAACATATAGCTATTCTTTTCTTTTCAACTGATCGAGGTTCTATGAAATCCATAAGCTCTTCATAGTTAATAATT